CTGTTGGTAATGCTTGTATTGGTAGTGCCTGACTGTTTGTCCAGCTTTTCTATTTTCTGCCTTTCTTCAGATTGTGTTTTTTTTAGTGTCTCTATTTCAGTTTTAGGTTGCTTATCTGTACTCTCATATCATCTGCAAATAAAGATACTTTGAATTCATCCTTTCCAATTTGTATCCCCTTGATCTGCTTTGGTTGTTTTATTGCTCTAGCTAGAAATTCAAGTACTATATTGAGTAGGTATGGGAAGAGTGGAAAACCTAATCTTGTTTCTGATTTTAGTGTAATTGCTTTGAGTTTCTTATCAAAGCAAGTTGATGCTGGCTATGTTCTCGGTGTAAACTGGGTTTATTATGTTTAGGTATGTTCCTTGTATCCCTAATCTCTACAGGACTTTCATCATGAAGGAGTGTTGAATTTTATGAAAGGCTTTTTATCTTCTAATGAGACATCATGTAAGAAAAGTCTTTCAGTTTACTTATATTTGTGGATGGATTTATTTATTTTCATATATTAAATCATCCCTGCATATCTAGAATGAATCCTACTTCATAATTGTGGATGATTTTTTGAAGTGTTTTTATTGAGTATTTTTTGTATTTTTGTTTATAAGGGAAATTGATCATTAATTCCCATTCTTTGTTGAGTGTTTATGTGGTTTGGGTATCAGTAGCCCTAAAAGGAACTTGACACTGTTCTTTCTGTTTCTGTTTGGGGGAATAATTTGAGGAGTATTTGTGTTAACTCTTCTTTGAAATCTGGTAGCATTCTCCAGTGAAACCATCTAGGCCTGAGGTGTTTATGACTGGGGGATTTTAAGGACTAGTGACAATCAGTTTATTTAAATTGCTTATCTAAACTAGATTTAACCTTGGTAAATGGCCCATATCAAGTGAATTATAAATTTCTTTGTGATTTTCCAACTTTGTGGAGTACAGGTTTTTAAATTTGCCCTTATTATCTTCTGGATTTTCTCAATGAAACTCTTTCATTGATTCATTGTATTGTTTTTGTTGATTCCAGTCCTAAGTTTTATCATGTCTTGACATCTATTCCATTTTCTTATTATTTCTTCTTTTTGTTCTAGAGCCTTTATATATACTAGTAGGTTGCTAGTATGGGATCTCTGTAATTTTTATGTAGGAACATTTGCTATGTAACCTCTTACAACAGCTTTTATTATGCCCCATAAAACTGGATTTGCTTTACATTCATTTTCAATAAATTCTAGAAAGTGTTTAATTTCTTTCTTCACACACTTTTCATTCAGTACAGATTGGTCATTCTGCATGACTTGTAATCTTTCTGTTATTGCTGTTGCTGTTGCTATCTAGCTTTAGTCCATGGTGGTCTATAATGATGCAGGTAGTCATTTCAGCTTCCATTATCTGTTGAGATTTGCTTTTTATCCAAGTGTGTGGCCTATTTTGGAGAAAGTTTTATAAGGTACAGAGATGAAGGTGTATTCTTTTGTGTTTGGGTGACATGTTCTGTAAATATCTGATAGGTCCATTTAGTTTATAACATCTATTAGTTTCAGTATTTCTCTGTTCAGATTTTGTCTTGATGACCTGTCTGTTGGTAAGAATTGGGTTTTGAAATCTCTGACTATTAGTGTGTCAGAGTCAATATGTGATTTAAGCTGCACTAGTGTTTCTTATACAAACTGTGTGCTCTTTTGCTTGGGGCATACATGCTAAGAAATGAAAAGTTCTCTTGGTGTATTTTTCCTTTAGTGTATATGTAGTGTACTTCCTTATTTCTTCTGATTAGTTTTCTTTTGAAGCATCTTTTTTTATACATTAAACTTTCTTCAACACCTCCCTCCTTAGGTGTTCTATGTCAACTTAAGTAAACAACAGTAATATGTCCCCCCTATGGCCTGTAACTTACTTCCTTGTGTTCTTGTATTCAATTATAATGTGAGGTAAGAATTCCTACCTGTGTATTGCATCCTTTTTTTTTTTTTGTTTCTACGAGACAGGGTTTCTCTGTATTGTTTTGGAGGCTGTTGGTCCAGCCCGGCCTTGAACTCACAGAGATCCGCCTGCCTCTGCCTCCTGAGTGCTGGTATTAAAGGCGTGCGCCACCACCACCCGGCCGTGTATTGCATCTTAATCAAATCACATAGTGGTTATTTATCCCAGTAACAGGACAGGACTTGGCAATAATTATTTTCATATTGTACCATTATATAGGAAAAAGTCTTTGTATGATACAATGTACTATTAAATTTTATGTGCATGTACACACCATGAAGCCTTAGCTTCTAAAGTGCTTGCTGCAGTGGTTGTCTGGTTTTAGCTTGCCCAACTCAAGCTAGAGTCCTCTGAAAGGACTGAACTAAATTTAAAAAATTACCGCCATAACAGTGTTCAGTAGGTAGGGCATTTCCATAACTAGTGATTAATATGAGAGGACCTGGCACATTGTGAGTGGTGCCACCTCTACACTGGTGGCTCTGAGTTCTACAAGAAACGAGGCTAAGTGAGTCATGAGGAACAAACCAGTAAGCAACAATCATCCATGACCTCTTCATTAGCTCCTGCCTCCAGATTCCTGCCCCGACTACCTTCAGTGCTGAATAGTGATGTAAACTATAAGAAAAACAATCCTTTATTACTCAAATTGCTTTTGGTCATAGTGCTTCATCCACCAGTGTATTCCCCATTAAGACACTACAAAGTGTGTGAACCCAAGTTTAGATTCCTGTCACTTATGTTAAAGAAACCCACCACTGGGGAGGTCAGAAAGTAGGATCCTTGGACCTGATGGTCATACAGTCCAGCTAAATATTTGAGCTGCAAATAGAGTGGTCAACCTTGTTTCAAAAATTAAGGTGAAGACACCCATTTACCAGCCTCTTGTCTCCCCATGCATGTGCACATATATATGAACATGTACATAGAAAATGCTAAACACCTCAGAATTGCGTTATCAAACCATTTAAACAAAATTAAGTATTTAATTTGTCAAGAAACACGAATAATTTTTTGTCTATTGTATTTCCTGTAAAAGATAACAAAATATAAATGACAAAAGTGTTACTTAACCTGGCCTTGGGTTAGAGTACATTTCTGGTTTAAATTTGCTTTCAAAATTATTTGATGACTTTTCAGTTTCTTTCATATAATCATTCTTGCTGTGGGTCAAGTTAATTCAATGGCAAAATCATTGTCACCAATTCTGTGTTTCTGTCTCTTTGCTTTGTTATTCTCACTGAGCACTTTCTATGTTGGTCAGGCTGGTTAAGATTTCATGTCCTTGCTCAGAAGCAGGAGAAAAAGAATGTGGTTAGAAACTCACTGATCATTTTTTCTGTCATATAATTGACCAGATATGCATAACATGCATTCTTAAGTTGTTCCTTCCACTGGAGATGAGATCATTATCAATAGCACATAGCTTATCAGGGTTGACCTGAATTTGTGGACAACATACTCTTCCACAGAGCTGATTTGTGACAAAGGCATTGGTGAGACATCACAGTTCAGTGATGCAAAGGAGAAAAAAATGAATAAAGTGGGAAACAGACGGTATTGATTGCAGAAATGAGAGTGTCAGACTGTAGACCAGTGATTATGAGCTCAAGCTACACACTGGAACCCTCCTGGGAGCTTCTAAAAATACAAATCAATTTAATTGGTCTGGAGTTACATATAAATATCTCCATTTCAACTAAAGTCCATGCTAATTTTGATATAAAGCTAAATTTGAGAGCTATTATTTTAGAAAAACTGAAGAGAGAAATCCAAGGCCACTCGCACTGAGGTTTTCAGACAGTTTTGTAGAAAAAGTGTGTTCAATGTGAGTCCTATTTTGTGCTCAGGGAACTGAGTGCAATGACCTGTTAGCTGAAGAGGTAAAATCACAGGTCCTGACGGTGTCTTAAGAGACAAGGTCTGGTACTCCACTATCTATGTTTACTGCGTATTTGAGAAAGATGATCTTTGATTTATCAGAGTGCAGCTTCATCAGTATGATACCTACACTTACTGACAATTTACAGTGCCCATGGTGCTTCCTCTTCCTCAACAGTAGATAGCTACAACATTTTATGGATAAAAATATTTTACAGCATGGCAACCCATAGATTCTGTTATTTCTTTAAGCTCTCAATCATTTAATTTTTTCCTAGGACTGTGAATGTTTGCCCATGATGTCAAAGTTTACATCACCATATATGAGTTTTCCAGTTCAACAGACAATTATTGGTTAACTAGTAGATGACAGCTGCTGGGGTCAGTTAGGAAGCCAGAATTTTCCTTACACACTGAAGTGTACATTGCTTTCAGAAGAAGCATCAGGATTTGCTGTGCAGCTCCATTGGGCACTTAGCATGTGATCCAAGACCAAACAAGTAAGCAAAGTGGAGACTATAGACTGGTTTAATTTAAAGTTGATTTAGAGACAAAGACTAGTGATATGTTACCCTACGAATAATTTCTTTTTCCTTAGAAACATGCAGTGACAAAATGTGGCAAATACTGGAGTTTAGGTATTTTCCCCTTTTATCTTCCAACAAATATTTGGGTTATATATGAGGTCTCCTATGTAGATTAGTCACCCCTGGCTGTAGTGAACCTTTGATGAGGAGAGGTACTCAGTCTGTGTGGCTGATCATCAGTAGGTGTTCATTTGGAATATTTTCTCTTCATTGAGATGTAAGAAAATAAACAGCTGCTGTTAATGACTAGATGGTTTGGTTTTTCATACAGATAACTTTTTATATTGAGTTATTAGATTGCAAATGAAGGACAAACTCTTTCTTGGGTAAAAGTGTTTGGATAGCCCCAATGCAGAGCTCATTAAAGCAGCTGTCAGGATCCTTCTATTTTACTACCACCCCTGCCCCATGCTGGAGGAAGAAACTGTCCTTTTGAGTGAGTGTCCTGCCAAAGAGGCATTTACAAATAAATGAAAAATGTCACAATCGATTTCACTTCTCCAAGAATACTATGTGTCTGTGTTGCCACAAATTCTCTTTGTTATTCTGTTTTAGATCTCTGGCTGGACATCAGAAATAGCTTTTGATGGCTTAGGGCCTCCTTCTTGAGACCCCAGGTAAGCCCTCTATTGGTGACCTTTTGTAAATATTTATAAAGCCATTTGAGCAGTTCAAAAATGGAAGCAATACACTACTCCTCTTCTGTAACTGCTGTCTTTGTCAACAAGCATTCAGATGATAAATGTTCAATTATTTACTCATTTGGGAGAATCATCTCATATATTTGATGACACTGTAGATTTATATTATGATATTATACATTCTTTGCTAGCTCAAGTTGTTATGTTTAATGTATTAAATGCAACTAGAAATGTTACTTGTAAAGAAGATATGTGAGTATGCTTCTCCTGTGTTTTGAAAGTACTCACGTTATCAGTTTATCTTGGATACTTGTCATTTCTATAACTTGAATGAAGCATCACTAATAGACATCAAGCCATACCAACATTATCAAGAGTTTGCTCTGAGCAATAATCTATGGTGAGCAAGCATGGGAATTAACATATGTAAATGTATTACATTGGTGCTTAGATTCTCAGTTAATATGGATTTGGAATAAAGATAACTAATTAGTAATTGCTAGCATTTCTTATGGATATTAAAATTAAAGGAAAATAAATCTTCACATAATTATAGTTAAAGAGATGTTAATCAGTATAATTTGCTATAGACTGTGCTGTCATTTGAGATCATTGAACTTACTACTGTGTATGCAGAAGATCACAGAATGCAACAATTAGCAATATTTTTGTTTCTCTTAGATAAATAAAATTTCAGCAATTTAATAACTCATTTACCCAATACTCATGGCAACTTGTTAAGTGTTAGGTTCCTTAACTGGAAGGGCTTATGGTGATGAATGCATAGCTTCTTCTTAAAGCTTTATATAGTCCGGAGGGGACCAACCAAGAAAGCATGGAAGCAGGAGAAAGTACGCTGAGTAAAATAGTATGTGAGTGTGGGTGCTGCATGAGAAGACAGGTGTAGACAAAGTTTCTTTCCCACCTGCTCCAGCTGCCCTTCAGCCCCAAATAAACACACTGATGCTTATTTTAATTGAAAACTGTTTGGCCAATGGCTCTGGCTTCTTATTGGTAGCTCTTTCTTAATTGCTAAACCATTTCTATTAATCTAAGTATTTCCATGTGGTATTATTTACTAGAAAAGGGTCCATACCTGTTACTCCTTCCTCCCCTTCGTGGCATCTCTCTCTGGTGTTTTATTCATCAACCAATAAGAGAAACATATACAGGACATCCCCCATCAGTCAAGGTCACTTCAGCCAGTGTAATGATAGTTGCCTATGCTGTGACAGAGAATGGAAGCTAGGGGCTGTTACAGTTCGATTTCAGAGGAGTTGATGATGCCAGAAACAGTCATGAAAAGGAATTTTTGATTCTAAAAATTTAGGAAGCAGGGAGAACACCCTAATAAGTCATATTAGAAACAAAAAAATAAACTCAGACTTAATTGAGAAAACAATAATGAAAGACCCAAGATTTCAAGGCAAGCTGGTGAAGTTCTCACAACTCACTGAACATAATAGGAAGGAAAAGCATACTTTACTTCACATCCTAATAAATAAAATGTGTTTTTTAGGATGCAAGATTTTGGTGTGCAGGAACATGGTTTAATACACATCGATTTCCCACTATCCAATGCAGTATTTTTCCCATAGCAGGCTCTCAATATTTCTAGCATCTAATCCTTAAATTGCAGGTAAAAATCCAGAAAACAGGAGGCTAGTCAGAGAAAGGCTTGCTCAAAGCTTTGCTTTCTGTGACAAATATTCTAATTTCTTGGTGAGTTGCCACAGGTTGAAATTCCTTTCCATGTCTGTTCTTTAGTTTTCAATTCACAGTGAAGGTTCCCACTAGAGGAAATCGGTATGAAATGTAATTTTCAAAATTTCTGATTCATTATATGCCAGTCAAATATCTTTAAGCAAACTGGAAGTGACTTGGAGTAAAATAAGTGAAGAAGATACTTTTGTGAAAGGAAAGTGAGAACATGTCTAGCTTTCTTTGTTGAACTTAATAAATATATAATAAAATATATTATGAAGGATTTCATCCACGTGAGAAAAATGAAATGATGCCTTATTAGCTGGATCCTGTAAGATAATGAGTACACTAAGGAGTGATTGTTTTCAGTCACTTCTCAAATGTGTGACTGGCTCTGACAGTCTCTCTGTGCCCTTTTCTCCAGTCTTGATCTGTACATTAAATCCACTGAGACTGGGCTGCACAAATCTGTGTTTTCACTGCTTGCAATTTTTGGTAATGGTCTCTATCTTTGGCAAAGGAGATTCTCCTTAGTGTGGTGATGAGGGATGAGGAATACACTTATTCGTGAGTGTAAAGATAAACATCTAGAGTATAGCTGAGGATTGTGCTGATGTAAAGTGGTGGCCCATGATCTATGACTTCACTAGCACAAGGTAGTTAGCAAGGTTTTCAGTACCAGGCATGTCAGAACTATATCCATAGGGTCACTAACATGACTGCCTAAACATGAGTTGAACAGGGATAACAGTAATACACATGTTAACACTGACAGGGGAAAGCCCACAAGACCTCGTCCCTGCACAGAGTGCTACAGTCAACTAAGGAAAGCTGAGAGTGGGAGACATAGTCTTCCCCAGGGAAAAGCACACCAACTTGTTCTTCAATATCAAATGGACAGCCATGAAAACATGCATAAAAGTGTCATTGTACAGACTGACCAGGGTTGATTTATGTATTTTAATTATATATGTGTGGGTGTGTGTAACAAAATAAATGAAAAAGATGCCATGAATATAGCAGAGCAAAGAGGGACATATGAGAAGAGCTGGAGGAATTAAGAACAATGGGGAATTATATAATTATATTATAATCTCAAAACTCAGAAGATATGCTTATTTAGTATATATGTACATATATACATATATATGTGTGTATATATATGTGTGGGTGCCTATTTAAACATATCCTGTATGTACAAATTTATATTGTGTTTGTATACAGTGGTATAAGTGTTTGTTTCCTTTTTGTATGTACATGTGTGTTTCATGTTATATGTGATATAGGTATGACTTTGTGTTGTGTTTATGGGCATTTATATGCAAATGTCTGAGTGTATGTCTGAGTATGTGAGTGTGTCCACACAGAATCTGCAAGCCTTGTAAATATTCATATGGGACTTTTCAAAATAGAATAGAACTTTTATTATTTCAATTTATTAGAGAAAAAGAATCACTGGCTGCTTTTTCCTGTAAGCTCAGTCATTTTGTCCCAGGTAAATATAACTTCTAAAATCTATTTGGAATTGATACCTACTGGAAAAGGGAAATTTTGATTTTCCCAATGAAATAATAATGGTTACATTAACCACACCCTAGGGCAAGTCCCATCACAGGAGTAGTTGACAATACAAAATGAACTCTATGTTATTTTGTATGCCTTTTTATTTTATTTTGTTTGATCTCTGTCTTATTGACTTCCTTTCCCCCTTTTTATTATGTTTGTCTTATACGACATTAGTTTTTAGGTATTTTAAGCTTTTTTGTGAGAGAGAAAGAACATGAAGTTGGGTGGGAAGAGAGAGGAGGATCTTGGAGGAGTCATACTAGGAAAAATAGTACAATCAAATATACGGTATAGGACTTTTTAAATAAATATCAAAAAATAATGCAAGGGCTGCTCACCATTTAGAAAAAGTAACTTCTAAAATTATGTAATTTTAGACACACAGAATATTCAGGCAATTCAGAAACCAACCTCAAGAACACCAGGATATGTAAAGACAATTTGCCGTCCAGTGGTTGCTATTACTTTCTTGCCAATTGAGGAAGAGACATTCTAGGAAAACGGTGTTGGATTTATTTCACTTGTTATCTTACATACATGAAAGTCGAAGTGACTAAATTGTTATTAAAAGGCCAATGGAAAATAGGAACAAGGCAGAAGTAAGAGTAATAGAGTTGGGGGGTGGTGGTGACTACTCCAGTTTCACAGCACAAGGACCCATGAGCAACTCAAGGAACATGTATTAGAAAGGTCACTCTACCCCACCAAGGGTCATGTGCAGTCCACAGTGTCTTATGGTGCCTAGTTTCCTTAGCAGCCATTCATTTGCAGTCTGTAGCTAGTGGAGGTGAAATCACAGATTAGAGCCTTGGATCACAGAAGCATTCTAACCATCTTCAAAATTCCAAAATTGAATTTTTGGCAAGAGCATAGCCCTCTCTTTGTCTTTAACAGAAGTGTGAGTTTGTGATAAGTGAAGTCAAATTTTGTATCTTTTATTATAAACAAGAGTCCAAAATATCCCTTAATCCACAGTGTCTTATAAGAGATGAAATAACCTTAACAACCAGTAGAAATACCAATAAATGAGACAGATTATTATTTAATTTACCATAAAAAGAAAATTCAATTAAATAATTAAGAAGCACACTAACTTTTTATTTATTTTGTTTAGGGAATTCAATACAAATTCACACCATGAAGTTTATTATTATGGAGGGTGGGAAGGAAAGGGAAGTAGGGAAGGGTGGACAGAACAAAGAAATAAATGGGGAAATAAAGAAAGGCAGGATGTCCTGTGGCCAGGCTGCCAGGTATGGTGTGCAAGCCTCCCTGAGCTGGGCTTCTGGTCAAGGATGGCTTGTGCTGAGCAGGTGAGATCATAGTAGGAGGGGCAGCTCCATGGCTGGGGTCATTTCTGAAGCATGGTCTGTCTGGTTTCTTTTCCCTTCCCTTTCCACATCCTGGCTGACAGCTCCTATTCTAGAGCACTTTCTTAGCAGGAAGCCTTAACATACATTTTAACAAACTTCCAGTGCCAAGTTTCTCCTTAAGTTACCGAAGGTAATTGTTTAAATATGTGTGGAGCAAGTGGAACAAACAGAACTGTTCTGTGGAAGCCTCGGCGGTACAGCTTGGTACAGGCAGGAAGACCTGTGAGTCACACAGCATTAGAAGCTGGCTTGTTGACAAGGAAAACTTGACGTTGTTTGTAATTGTCTCCATAGGGCTATAAATCTTCACTACATTCATGTGAACGTGTTCAA